GCAAACAGCGAGCCGTTGTTCACATCTTTCTCTGACTGCATAATGATATGTGTTGGTATTTCAATTTTTCACTTCAGCGTAACAAAATGGTTCCACTAGGCCTACTACTTCTCTGTGCAAGTCTGCTGGTCGAGGTACCCTCACTATCCCAAGGAGCCTGTTCCATCAATCCTTACTGCTCCGACTGTACCAATTATGCTGAGGAAGGACAGACAAAATGGAGATTCTACTGCAACCCTTACAATAGTTCTTATATAGATTCTTCACATTTTACGGCTACCAGCGATACGGTTGATTTCTTTCAAGTCAAATATTTTTCATCGAGTTCTACACTTGCCATCAACAGTGGCGCTTTCCGAAATGTCCCCAATATTGTGCGTGCAGACATTAGGAACACAAGAAGCACCAATCCTTCTATAAATCAATTTGCTTTCTTCTACGGTGTACAGAACAACCTGCGAACTTTGTTGTTTCGGAGGTCCTACCTTACTGCCGTCCCCTTAGCCTTGACATATCTAACGGCTCTACAGGAGCTGGACCTTGGATACAACAGAATTACTGGTGACCCATCAAACTACCTTAGTTACCTGACATCACTCCGGTCGTTGCGGCTTGACTATAACCGTTTACTGAGTAGAATCCCAGCGTCCTTGCAGCACCTTAATAATCTAAGAAAATTGTCTCTCGCAAGCTGCGACCTCGATCAGAGTTCAGGGATATCATTTGGCAATCTGCCCACATCTTTAGAGTGGCTGGACGTTTATAATAATCAACTGTATGAAGTGCCTTCTGGTATTGGCTTGCTTCAAAATTTGACCTATCTAAACATGGGATACTGTGGTTTGAACTCTCTGTCGGTCAACGTCTTCGCCAATCTAAGCAAGCTGGAGGCCCTAGAACTTAGTGACAACCCCAGTATTACTTCATATCTTGATGTTCTTGTCAATCAAAAGTCGTTGAAGGTTCTTAAACTATCCAACATGGGTTCTTCATTAACAGATATACCTAATGCAATATCAGGAATGGAAAAGCTGGAAGAACTTTTCTTAAGCAGTAATAGAATACGAGGAATAAATCACGGTCAATTTGCGAAACTGATACAGTTAAGAAAACTCAACCTTTACCACAATAAAATAACTTCTCTCGACCCGCTGTCGTTCCAAAATTGTGACCATTTGGAGGAACTGTACCTAGGTTATAATCTTATACATGAAGTGAGCCCGGCCCTTTTTGTTCCACAGTCCCTAAAGAATCTTAACCTGTACGGTAATAAATTTGACACGTTTGACAAGTGTACCGTTGCAAACTTACTGGCACATCTTCAGAAAACCGACACATCCATTTCAAGCGATCTTTTCATTTGCGATTGTCGTTTGGCCTGGGTTCGAAAACTCTCGGCGGCTTTTGGCTCCAGGGTACGTTTAAGTGGATCGTGTTATCTTCCAAGGGAGCTATACGGTCAGTCAGTGACTTCATTTACTCTGAGTGATTGCAGTTTGGAAGACGAAAGTTTTGAAAGCTGCAACAATATCTCAACAACTCCACCCAATACAACGACGGAACACCCGCCCGACTTTTTGAACAGCTCATTCGTCATTTCAGCCCAACTATCCAGTCTCAAAAAAGACCTTCAAAGCATTCAAGCTATCACAAATGCTGCAGTATCTGTCGCTGTTATTGCCCTCCTGGCACTCGTCGCTACTATCGCCGTGTTGCTGACATGCTTCTTTAGGCAACGAAATCGTGTGCCCTCAAATGGGTGGAGCCAGGGTCATGTCAATCAAGGTCTCCAGCTATCGGAAGGTGTGCAGAGCGAAAGGTCACCTGAAGGTAGAAGTTCTGAAGATACTGTGTACCAGAACACGACCGAGACGGCCAGCAGAGGCCCGAGTGCCGACTACGAACCTTTTGAGCAACACAGGCGGGGTTGGAAACAACAAGGAGGCCGTTACACCTCCCCCGTAGTTGATTAGTAATGTGTACAATAATCCAACTTGTCACTGTTTCATATCCGTATTTAAATGTGTACAATGTGATTTTTTTATATGTACGAGTCACCGAAAAGTGACCGCTACTTCACTTTTTGTTTTCTTTGCTTTATTATATTTTGTTTTAATGAGATCATGTAACACTGTGTACATAAGGATTTATTAGATGCGTAAGAACATTTAAGAACAACTTCCCTTATATTAACTGTATATCAATATTATGAGATCATGGATGCGGCAATGCTCACGAGTATTTTAATGCAGACCCTGCACTTGCCCACTGCATGTGCATTAATGCTGTGTAGCACACACTCCTGATAAAGTACATATAATATTCAATAGAACGACATAGCTTTCCTTGTAATATCCCATTTTATATTTACTGGAGAAAATTTGATTTGTGACGGAAACATCAAAGACTTAAACTGCGTCTTTTTTCTGCTGAAATCTGTTACACAGCGTATGTAAATCTAATTTTAAAAATATATTATTCAAGGAATAACCTTCACCTCCGTACCTTGTAATAATGTATAATAGTTGTAAGTACAGACATCAGTAAACTCAGATATGTCCATGTTATTGGAAGTATTGTCATTGTGACCTAGTAAAACACGATTGCATCTTTTATAAATACAAAATAATCCACATATATAAGCAAGGATGTACTTGCCAGCACTTCACCAGAGGTGAAATAAGGGACGAGGATGAGAGCCGACAATTTAACATTCTGCTAGTGCCTTTCACAATTTTACTTTGAAATTGCATTGGTTTTTTGGGAATTGGACACAAACCTTGGTAAAAGTATTTTGTTGTTTTTTGTACACGAAAAATACCTCATTGTGAATATAAACGGGAAATGTGGTTATAGTTTGGGACTTAGAACCAAATGTTTTAAATGCAGTGGAAAGACCAATTATGATTACTTCGACGTACTATAAGTCTTTTCTGGTTAATTTCGATGTGTAATCCAAACATTACTTTGTGTTCATGTGTACCTTTCGGACATAAATAGACGTGAAAAGGTGTATATACTGTATATTGTTATTATTATAAGCAAAGAAATAAAATCAGGGCGAATAGCTGACAAAGGCCCGTTCTTTTTATTCCAATTTTTTGAAAATTTTGCAAGATAACTCAATGAAATCTAAATCTTTATATTTTGTGTTGCTTATTGCATCAGTATCTGGAAGTACCAGCTCTGCAAATAATGTGGGTAGTAAACTTAAAACATTTGTCGAAAACAATACTACCGAAAATGTCGTTTTTACAAAAAAAAGGGGGGGGGGCATTGTATATGCAACATTATTATAGATGTAGTAGACTACTTTTTCTATAACTTATCTCTGGATATGCACTCATCTACCATTGGATCTTGTTCGTGTAGTAAAGTGTGAGTGGTCTTTTATTTAACTCATTATACAGTGCATTCCCCGTTTACAGTACCTACCAATATGGTTTTCAGAGGCCCCCTATTTTCTAGACATATTTCAAGTATAACCAATATTTCCACTTGTGCTTTCAAACCTACTGTATATAAATGCTCATTTTAAGGATATTGTAACCCTTTATTTTTGCCCAAATACCGAAAATAAAGTTTTTCCTGCATCTAATTGCTCAATTATGCATATATCTTTGTGTGGATTTAAAACAATAAAAAAAACCTCGAAAATATAAAACTTCGGCGTTCATTTTTCTCCTTGCAATGTATGAGCATAGGCGACTCAAGGCTTTAATCTTCAATTTAACACCTTTCTCTTTTTGATGAGATAACAATCAGTATGGGCCTTAACTTCATGAATGAAAACAATTTAATCACGAAAATTGGCAGAGCTAACCACGAGTATATAGGCTACAATCCCTTGCGTCATTTTGGTTTAAATATTTTTATTTGAGTTATGAGCCCCTAATTACAGATTTTCATAAAACAAAGGCATTATTTGGCTTTAACAACGGTGAAATCTGAACTAAGAATTTTAAGAAAAATCGCTGGCAGTGTTTTGGAGTACGAAATAGTGTTATAAAGTCGGCGTGAATACGGTGATCGTTGGTGCTCAGGTAATCTTTTACCTAAAAGAATGTTAGTTAGGGAGTTAATAAGGAGTTTGGGGCGAAGGGTGACAATATCTTTAACATTTTCCACCAAGATCAATAGAGCTACTGGGCGATGACAAGCACATGGTACAACTGGAACGTGCTATTCAATATGTAACCTTTGTCAGCTCTTGATAAACCATACTCGTTCGTTATTGTTCTCCTAAGATTATATTTTTATAGCTCATTGAATCTAGCATACTAGTATGTTCGATTTTTTATTTGGCTACAGAGCTCATTTACGCAGGGCCGTGAGATACCAAAATCTTCTATTGCGCTTCCCAGTATTTTTTTTTTTTTTTCAAATCTCTGAACTAGAAGGGTCTACATGTACATTGAAAAATCCATTTTACACATCCATATACAGACTTGACATTTAATATGGAATATTTTTTCTAAATCATTATTCATTAGTTTTTTTCCTATTTTGCAGACTGATAAATAAAAATAATGATTAAAATCGTGTTTTAATAACTTTTGATAAAATGTTCCATGTCATTGCGACATCAGTTCTTAAATTGACTTCGCCAGTGAAGCAAACAAAAATGCATTGCCAATTTTAAGTCATGCGACAACCATTGAAAGCGATATTTTGGATCTCCATATCTTCCAAATTATCGTCTTTAAAAGAGTTACACGACCCACAAAGGTCCTTCATGTCAGTGTCTAGTCACAGTAACAGTCGCTGCTATGCCTGACCTTATCTTCCTGCTACCAGAGCTTTCAAGAGGGCAAGGCATTTCCTGCGATAGTTTTTTTAGAATTTTATCTGGAATAAAATTCCAGTCAACGGTTAAAACTTGTCCAGTTTGGTTCAGTTTTGTTGTAGGACATGCAGGCCGTTGATTCGGCGACTATTGACCGAACCACATATTGTCAAACTGGTTCAAATATGGCGATTTCGATGGCCAAGGTAGCTGCTTATTCATTTGGTTCTGTAAGTTATCTGCTATAAAAAGTTCTCTGTGTGAACCAGCAATCTGATCGTGCAACCTAAAACTGTTCCTAAGGTGCCCCCTATCAAATGATAGTCGAGTGGTTCCCAGATTATTCCTTTATTTGATCTGGTTCAGGTTTTCATCGATGACTTCCATTGGTTTTTTGGCACCAATGTGGTATCAACTCCAAATATTGACGTTGTCAATGGCCCTAGTCACTTCAGAAGCGGCACACACCTTGTCGTAGGTCTCTTCAGGATGTCTGTAAACTCTTTTTTGACCAATTTAGCGGCACAAGTGAAATCTGACCTCAATAAAGAAAACAACGCGATTTCAGTGTTCTACCCAGAAACGGTCATGGTCCACAATTCATTAGAGAAACAGACTACACTGTTTTGCTGTTTACAGTGGCTATCTCAGAGGTCGCCTAATATCCTAACCTGCTGAAACCATTTTGGTCTTCGCTTAGCGCCTTGAAAAACGCGTTTCGGTGACAATTTGCCCCTCATTTTAAACGGACTAGGTGGTTTGGTTTAATTGTAGCAGCATTTCCTGAAGGACATTGAGTCCTGTATCCTGGTGGTAAGATATCGATAAATTGGACGTGTTGTCTGTGTGGGTACATAACCCTGGGCATTACTCTATGAAACTGTGCGGACAGTTCCGTTTGGGGCAATAATCTGTCTGGCAATATCTGTATTTTTTGCGCCATTCTGGCACAGCTTATCAATTTTGACAAACAGTGCTTAACTCATTTTACGCACTGCAAAACCGACCGCTTGCATGCAAAATTTCAAATTCTTCTTTGCAATGGTTGCCGACATATGGATATATTTTTGACAGAACCATGCCTCGCCAAAGCCAAGCTTTGGTCAGCCCAAAGGAGCACTACCCAATTAAATCACTGCATATTTCACAATGCAGCAATGCATCAGACTTGGTAATCAGTTAATTGGTAGAGACACACCTTTCTTCACACTTCTCCAGTCAGATATCTTAAATGAGATCTGAGTTTTTTTCAATTAAGAACGCATTTTTACCTAGGTATACCTTTAAAACTGAAATATTCCATATTAAATGTCAAGTCTGTATTTCCAATTCATCCTTTTTTCATTTTCGCACATTTCTCATGTGTATAACTCCTTTGGTGATAAATGCACGTTCCACTGTTTTGTGCAGAGTACGTTCACAGCTTGGACTCATAAGACTTGCATTCTGATAAATCAACATAATCTGTTTATGTTTTATTGTTATTTCTATGGTAACAACGCTTGGAAGTATCGAAAAACATATCGCTGCATGGTGCTGGGTAAGTAAATTTAATTTCTGACGGCAGTGTAGTCAGTTTTTATTTTAAACAAGTAAGGCGCGATTGCCCCTATGTCTCAATATCTAAGCATCATTCACCTTCCACGCAGACCAATAGGAATGCTTTTTAAAGCTTGGCCTCACTGTTGTATAATGTTTTAGCAACCTTTTTTATTTTGAAAAGAACGACATGTTTTAGTAAAGTAATTCCTACCTTTACAGGACAAAAGTTTCTTTGTGACAAAATCTCTACTTAAGGGATTCGCCTGAATAGAAAAGCTAATAACCCCTGCTAAAATTCGCATTCTGTGCGACATTACTTCTCCGTTTAACTCATTGCCAAATCTGCAGGCCAAAAAACCCTTTCAGGTAAGTCTATATTAAATTTTAGCAGCTAAATTGTCAAAAATTCAAATAGGTTCCTATGCAAAGGATATCTGGTAAAAAGCAAAAAAGAAGAAGCGTAATCTGTTTAGTTTGTCATAAAGGGGCTTTAACCCAAGCTGCAGTGGAAGGAAAACAGTTTATTCTTTGACTAATCTGAAGCACCTCTCCCTCCCAAATACATATAGAGACAACTGGCGAAATGAAACAAAACACAGAATTATCCATGATTCTGGTCTTCTACTCATTATGGTAAAATTCATCTCATCTACTCTGATATATTTTATATTTCTTATCCTTGATCCGTCCCCGTCCTTCACGCCGTGGTGGCCACCTTTAGCAAAATCCTGGACCTACCTTTGCCTATATATAGACTTGTATTTAAAATGGAATATTTTAGTTTCAAAGATTTACCGAGGTAAAAATGCGTTCTTTTTTTCGAAAACATCAAATCTCATTTGAGATATATGTATGGAGAAGTGTGAAGTCCGACGTGTCTCTACTAATGAACTGGCTACCATGTCTGTTGCACTGCTGCATTTGTTTGTGTATATACTTAATTTGTTAGTGCTCCTTTGGTCTGGTCAAAGCTTAGCTTTGGTGAAGCATGGTTCTGTCAAAATAGTATTCATATGTCGGCAATTAGTGCAAATAAGAATTTGAAATTTTACATGCTAGCGGTCGGTTTAGCAGTGCATAAAATGAGTCAAGCAGTGTTTTATAAAATTGTTAATCTGGCTCAGAATGGCGCTAAAAAAATATTGTTGGACAGATTATTGTGCCACATCAAACGATCAGTTTTAAAGAGTAATGCCCAGACTGATAAGCCTACACAAAGGCCACTCACAGTGTGTTAAAATCTTTCCACCAGGACAGGACAGGACTCCGCGTCTTTCCGAATATGCTGCTGCAAATAAACAAAAAAACATCCAGTCCATCGGGGAACCACTTGACAAACATTTGATTGGGGGCACCTTAGGAACAATTTTAGGTTGCACGATCAGATTGTCAGTTTACTCGGAGCACTTTTAATAGCAGATAACTTACAGAACCGAGGGAATAATCAGCTACCTTGGTCATCGAAATCACCATGTTTGAACCAAATCAACAGCCGACATGTCAAACAACAAAACTGAACCAAATTGGACAAATGTTGACCAATGCCTGGAATGTTAACCTCATTCCAGTTATTCCATATTAAACTCTTAAAATCTATCCCATGAAATGCCTTGTAGCTTGAGAGCCCTGGTAGCAGCCAGATCAGGTCAGAAGTAACAGCGACCGTTCCAGTGAGTAGACACTAACATGAGGGTCCTTTGTGGGGCATGTAACTCTTTAACCGATGATGATTTGGAAAATATGGAGATCCAAAATATAACTTTTAATGGTTGTCGAATGACTTAAAATAGGCAATATATTTTTGTTTGCTTCACTGGCGAATTCATTTAATGAACTGATGTCACAATGACACAATGACATCAAAGAGATTATTATAAAATATTAAAAAACTATATTAATCCTTGTTTTCGTAAGTAAAATTTGAAAAACTGGACAAAAATTATTGGGAAAAACTTCCTTATTAAATGCATTTACATTGGGTGCTACGTACAGGATAAGTCTTTATGCAGCAACGTGACAGTTGTTTGGCAGAGCCACCTATTCTCACTTATTTTCACATCTTGCAAACAAATAAACATCTGAAAATGGACACAGGTTTTGATAGCACTCGGTGTTAAATTTAAGAGATTGTTATTTTATTATATCATTTTTGTAAAATATAATTTAATTTTTTTGCGCTTAAAAACGAAGAGTAATGGATTACTATTCATCCAGATGTACATTGCAGCCAGCGTCAAGGTGAGCTTATCACATAAAATATGACGCATGCATGTGACATATGACGCTGTAACGTGATACAGCCACATGTGCTGACTAATTTTTTCATGTGACTCTCAACGGGCTGCGGTCTTTAAAGAAATGAAAATAAATACGAAGCCTTAAAAACACCAATTGTAAATTTTAAAAGGACGATTTTGGATTTTCAACTATTATCCAGCAGCATTACCCTTATTTACGACGAGAAGCGGATACCGACACAACCAGGTGTTCAAGGCCTCCAATATGTGAAATGGCTCCCCTTAATAAATATCAGGATTGCTGCAAAGTTTGCTGCAAATTTGCTCCATATTTTCCTAGTGCTAACATTACGTTATAGTTAGTTTTGCTTACATATATTAAGGACATATACTGACCCGACCAACTTGAGTATAATTATGAATTTGAGCAAAACAATAACGTAATGTTAGCACTAGGAAAATAAATACTTTATAGTACACCGTGCGTCTACCGAGCTAAAATCTAAAGCAGGATATACCTTGTGTATACAGCATTGGTCAAAAAGGCTGTCCCACCAACAATATATATGCTTTTACCTACAGGTGGTCACCTCACATATTTAAATTTTTACAGATATCTGACATGATTATTGGTGCAAAAAACAAAATAGCGGTGAAAATATCCACATTTTATACCATTTACTCATATTATAACAAGCACCCCTAAAATTTGATATTTTACTGATATTTCCACAAAGGTAAAGAAATATTCATTTATTAAAAAGACACTACCAAATATTAACAACGTTACACACAATTAACATTAGGGTGTGCTCATTAGGGTCACGTGTCTACGCGCGTGCTTTTATAGCGCGTAGTGGGCGCGAGACCAGCGGCCCTTCTCCACTGTCAAATCGTATGATGACAACCTGCACCGGGTTGCAGCAATCTTCTCAAATTCCCTGACGTCCAGATCAATATAAATGTCTGAGACTGATCTGCATTTATCTCAATATACAATATAGCCTTACAGTTGTGAGACACACGTACACATTCTTTACAGTTCAATAAGTCAGTTCCCCCATGATTATTGTGCTGCAAAATACCTTTTAGGCATTTGAATGCGTTTGTATTAACCTGCTAACAGGAAGCCCAGGTATATCGAAATGGGACATAAAGTACCTTTTCTGCTTGTTCAAGAGCCTTTACCATGAATTTATGTTGATCTGTTTTCATGCGGGTTTCAGCACTACATAAACCAAGCTCATCTAAACATAAATCGTTAGTAATTGTCACCCTTACACCAAACAGACCTAACCAATGACCTGCACATAGAAGTAACCTCTACAAAGATGACACTAATATTATGCTCGGTTGTGTAATGCAGCCAGGGTCAAGGTGACATTTTCAATAACATAACACGTAAACATGTATTGCTATGCTAGTTTTGAATTGAAAAAAATCAAGCTCGCTCCATTTAAACTTTAACAATGGTTCTACTGTTCAGTTAAGTTGTGAAAAAAGAGGGGATTTATAAACGAAAGGTAGCCGGTAAAACGCAGACACTAGTGACGTACGTCTGTTAAATGGAGAGGCTGGAGCTGGCCCAATTGTATGAGAAGAGAAAACAGTCATTTCAGATAGTAAATTATTTGAATAATCTGGAGTACTCCTAATCATTCAAAATATACATAAGAACAACACACGTGCAAAACGGGATTAGCACACAACAATTTGTTTCATCCTGGTGTTTTACTCATTATAGTTAAAATTTAGCTACTGTGAAATAATTTTATATATTTTATTTCTTATCCTTGGTCTCTCCTCTGCCCCACTCTCCCATAGCAAAATCACCAGCTGATGCCCTGATACATGTATGTACGAGGGTTGATTGATAAGTAGTGAGCCTCAGATAGAAGGGGTATACATTTTACAAGTATTTTTCTTTATTTTTCAACATAGTCTCCTTGAGTATCTATATACTTTTGCCAGCAAGTTTTGAGAGCCTCTATGCCACTTTTATAGAAGCCCTTCTCTTGGCCGTTCAGAAACCCCTCCACTTCACGTATGACGTCATCATCTGACTCAAAGTGAGTACCTGAAATGGCCTTTTTCAATTTGGGAAATAGATAATAGTCAGAGAGAGCAAGATCAGGTGAATAAGGTCAATGTTCTATCAGTTCAAAGCCACACTCGTTGATTGCAGCCATGGCAATGACAGACATGTGGAGGAACAGTGCACCTTTCCTGAGCTTTCTGCTGCCTCGTCGACATAAACTAACCAAATGACACCAAACTTTGGCTACACAACTTTAAATCGTCAGGGAATAGAAGGGCTGAAAAGGGATATCCCTGCTTAACCCCTTCCACACGAGACTCACTACTTATCAATCAACCCTCGTAGAGTAAAGATATAACAGTTATGATGCAACATATATACGTAACATCAGTGGTAATAGTCGTCTGGATAAACCACGCGTGCTTGCTTACTTGTATGTGGTCTTGTTTTTACGTTTTGAATAAAGACATGTGAAAAAACTAACGTATTGAAATCAGTTATTGTTGATTTTAAAAGATTTTTTATAAGGGGGGGGGCTAAATATTATTCAACTGTTTTACCCTTATATACAGCTAAGAAACCGATCACGGTACATCGTTTTAACGTTGTCTACGCAGAGACAAAATTCAAATGACACGAGAAGAGAGGGGGGTATCACCGTTGCCTTAAATATACAATTGAAAACATCTCTTTTGAATACTAAATAACTACCTGGGGCTTACACAAAGACTTCTGATCACGGAGTAGAAAACAAACAAATTCATTGTGTATAGTAGAATTTGTGTTTGCTAATATATTATCATTTTCTGTTTTGTTTTGTTTTGTTTTTATCCTTACACCCCCTCCCCTCTGCATTTTCCTTGTTCTCCCAATGCCCTGATAAACAATGGGGAGGCAAATTAAATGATGCAATGTGACAGTTGTCTGGGTCAGCCAGTAGGTAAGACCAAACCTTTTTATCGAGGGAAAGCTGTGACTGTGACAAGGCGTATTGATATACGATACATTTAATAGCTTTCCATAAGGCAAGCAGGAATAAAGTAGAAATCACCGTCAGGTTAAGGGTGTCCGTAAGAGAACTGCTGACGGCAATGTAGCCCTTCCGTGATCTAGCTATATCTACAGTAGTCCCCGTATCACCAACGCTAGGATTAACCGCCCATCCACTATATAGCTAAAGAACAAGAAACGTCTTTAAAGGCAAAAGTACGGGACAGGCATCTGATCCTTCTTCCGAGAGAATAATTGGTCAACCGCAAAATATTTTTACTATAAAGTGTACTTCAACTGTCTAAGTGGACACAAAAAATGTAAATGTAAATAAATACATTTTAGTAACAGATTACGATGGGCCACCGCATTTCACTCTGTATGTAATACTTGTAACCAGCAGTATAGTTCATTTGTACGTGTCATGGTATACAGTACTGGTCAAAATAATGTCTCGTTCCAAATTCCATGTACTTTTATTTCCAGATGATCACCTCATGGGTGTTAATTGTTATAAACAGTGCTTTTTGTTCCATTTACCACATCTAACATGCTTAATGGTTCAGAAAATATAGCATATATATATTATTCTGTTTGTTCAATTTAAGATGCACACCCTCATAGCCGGTGTTTCTCTGTGATTTCATACAGCATGAATTTGTCTGGCAAATATAATGATAATAAGTTTCTTATTTGAGGCTTTACACTTGGTAATGTTACTAAAATATTTTAAATTAGTACAATACTCTCATCGGAAAGATTTAAAATTAACACTTCTAAAAACACAATCTTATTAAAAATATAAAATATATAAAAAATTAAAGAGCAATAGGCAGATTAAAAAAATGTAGGTCTTTAGAAGGGAATTAAAACTAAGTATTCTGCTGTTCTAATAGAATTTGGTAACGCATTTCATTCACAGGATAATTATTTGTGTTGGTTTTTTCACTTCAGAGTTGGAAATGGATCTAAGAGATATTTTACTTCTCTGTGCAAGTTTGCTGGTCGCTGCACCCTCAGTATGCAAAGGAGCATGTTCCGTCAATCCTAACTGCTCAGACTGTGCCAATTATACCGAGGAAGGTCAGACAAAATGGGGATTCTACTGCAACCCTTACAGTGGGTCTTATATAGATTCTTCTCACTTTATGGCTACCAACGATACGGTTGATGTATTTCGTGTTATTTTTTCTGCATCTCGTTTAACATTTACCATCAACAATGGATCATTCGAAAACATCCCTAATATTTTACGTATGGATTTTGAGAGCAATTACGAAATGACGCTTTCCATAAGTCCATTGGCTTTTTCTCACGGTGTGCAGAACAACATGCGATCTTTGTTCTTGCGGGACTCATACCTTACCACCGTACCTTCCGCCCTCAGGTACTTAACTGTACTGCAGGAACTTGATCTGGGATACAACAAAATTACTGGTGATCCGACAAACTATCTAAGTCACCTGACTTTGCTCCGGTTGCTAATGCTTGACAACAACCGTCTATTGAGTAGTATCCCAACATCATTGGAGCACCTACCCAATCTCCGGAAATTGTCCCTTGCAAGCTGCGCCCTCAACCAGAGTTCTGTAGCGTCATTTGACAAGCTACCCAGGTCATTAGAGTGGCTAAGCGTTCAGGATAATAGACTGTATGCTGTGCCTCCGGGAATTGGATTGCTTCGAAATCTGACCTATCTTAATATGAGATCCTGTAGTCTGAACTCTTTGTCGGCCAACGTCTCCATCAATCTAAACAAGTTGGAGTTCCTAGATCTAAGTGAAAATCCAAGTATTGTTCCCACTCTCGAGGTTCTTGTCCATTTGAAGTCCTTGAAGATTCTTAGACTTTCCAATATGGGTTCTTCTTTAACACACATACCTGATGCAATATCAGGGATGTCAAAATTGATAGAACTTAACTTACGCAATAATGGAATACAAGAGATAAATCAAAACCAATTTGCTAAAATGGTTCAGTTAAGGAGACTCAATCTGGCCTATAATAAACTATTTTCTCTTGACCTGCAATCGTTCCAAAATTGTGTCCAACTGGAGGAATTAGACGTAAGTGATAATCTTATACACGAAGTGAGCCAGATCCTTTTTCTTCCTCAATCGATAAGGAAGCTTCAATTGTATGAAACTAAATCCGACACTTTTGACAAGTGTACCGTTGCAAACTTTCTGGCACATTTTCAGAACTCCTACATGTACATTTCAGGCGGTCGTTTAACTTGTGATTGTCGCTTGGCCTGGGTTAGAAAACAATCAGCGTCTTTCGGCTCAGTTTCGGCTCGGATAAGTTTTAGTGGAGCTTGTTATCTCCCAAGGGAGCTATACGGCCAATCAGTGAAATCATATACTCTGAGTGATTGCACTCTTGAAGACGAAAATTTGGAAAACTGCAACAGTATCTCAACAACTCCACCCAATACAACGACGGAACACCCGTCCGAGGCTTTGAATCACTCGTTCATTCCTTCAGTCCAACTATCCAGTCTCCAAAAGGACATCAGCAACGTTCAAACTATCACAACTGTGTCGGTATTTGTCGCTGTTGTCGCCATTGTGGCAGTTGTCTCTACAGTCGTCGTGTTGCTGATTTGCTACTTGATTTATAGAAACCGAGAACCCGCAAAGGAGAAGGACCAAGGCCACGTCAATCAAGGTACCCAGTTATCGGAAGAAGTCCAGGGTGAAAGAACACCTGAAGGTCAAAGTTCTGAAGATAGTCTGGATCAGAACACGACTGGAATGGCCACCAGCGCCCCTAGTGGTGACTTTACTCATCTGAAAAAGACAGGTTGGGTTTAAAACAACATGGATGTCGTCACGCCCCTTCCCCAGTTTTTTGTATGTGCCGGGTAGAATAATCCTACTTTTTGGCTTTGCGACTATTTTACATTTGTCTTTGATCAAATACTTACAGATAAAATTTGAATTGGGTCCGCACACGCCGGCATCAAAGATGTAAATGTGCCTGCCTTTTTTCCAAGGGTTTGTCCTACTTTCAATACCCTGAAAAGCTGTTTAAGGGTATTGTATCCCTTTATTATCATCCAGATACCCAATTGTTCAATCATGCATCTATCTTTGTGCTGATTTAAAACAATGAAAAAAAAACTCGAAATTGTAAAATATCAGCATTTTTATTTTTAAGGTACAATGTATAAGCATAGTCATCTCAAAGCTTTAATCGCCTATTTAACACCTTTCTATTGAGGTGAAATAGCAATCGGTATGCGGCGTAACTTCATCCCTGAACAAAATTGTATCATTTAAATTGGCAGAGCTCATTGGGAGTGTGTAGGCTACAGTCCCGTACCATCATTTTGGTTTAAGTGCTTTTGTTACTGAGTTATTAGCCCCTAATGACAGATTTTCATTAAACAAAGGCATTGTTTTGCCTCATCAAAGATGAAATCTGAACTAAGACTGTTAAGAAAAACCGCTGGCAGGGTTTTGGAGTACTGAATGGTGGTATAAAATCGGCGGTGAAACGGTGATCACGGTTGCTCAGGTAAAAAAGCAATTTGAAAAATCGTTTTTGCAGTTTTTACCCCAAAATTGCAATTATGACGTCAACCGTAAGATGACAAATGTGATAATGTTAATTAATTCAGATTTACATTGAAAAATTATCTATTACCCAAAAGAATGTATATAAGGGAGTAAATAAGGCGTTTCGAGCGAAGGGTGACAATATCCTTAATAGTCATATTTAAGCAAAGCCAGGGATATCAATCAGTACCCCAGCATTGTCATGTTTATTCGATCCCTTCTTATTATAAAAATACAGAGGGTTTTACATTCAAAAGAACTTAATCTATTATGTCAATTATTCTAGACTGTGACACGATTTACGAAAAACGTTATTTTAGGGGGTGGAACCATTACTTATATTATAAATAAAAGAAAAAACTAACAATGTGTACAATACTTTTCACTAATATATTACATTTTGAAAATTTCCCGATAAGCTGCTTGAAATATTGGCAGTATTTGTAAACTAACAACTTAATTATACATCTAGAGAAATAGATGTGCTGCATTAACCTGTAACTCAAGAACGTTCATCACCATTCGTTATTTTCAATTGTGTATTATTAAATAACTTTATCAGCAATAATTCGAAGCAGCAAATATGATACCTTGTTTGATATTGCTTATGGCCAACTGAGACACAGGCTTTTGACATCAAAGCCAGATTGCAAGGAAACTGGTTTTGTAGAAAAGCTGTTTGTACCAGAATAGGCGTGAAGGATTTGTAGATAACATTCTTTGGGAGAGGATGATAACTATTCCTTTTCCTGGAGATCCACATTTCTTAGACGAGGTTAACATTTTAACGTATGGGCGTTAAGGAAACTGTTAAGATGAAAATGATTTGCCTAAAATCCGTTATGATAGATGTACGTTTTTCTTCCCTTACTACTGATGTGATAGTTTAAAAGCAATATTTCATTGGAAACAACGTTATTGTTGTGGCTGTTGAATTCTAGCTTAACTATACCTTTATTTAAACAAGTATAGTTTTATGATATTGCATAAGATTTCAACTTGAATATACTATGTTAATATCTTCTGTGTTTTTTTAATAACTTTCATATGACCAGGGTGAGGTCGTTTAGTTCAAATCATGACAACTATGTATGCAACATACCAATCCTTCTAATATTGATATTATATTCAAGAAATGAATTGACAAAAATGCCACCTGTTGCATTTGACTTTAAGTACATATGGACTGCACCAACTGGTGATTATTACATAATTAGTGGTAATTCTATTTGATTATGTTTTGTAAAACCCGTAGTGCAGCCCGCCACACTTTATTTTGGCGGCCATATTGTATTATTTGGAGAGGCTCATACATGCATACGAAAAATTGCTAAAAATTTCTACCATTGTGTATAATGTTTTGTTTATAATTAAAAGTAAGCAATTGCTGCAATTTGCTTGATATTGCCTTGTTGTTTTCGTTTAAATGCCCTTATATCATATTTTTGTTTACATGTTTTTTCTACAAAAATATTTATCTCTCCCAATTAAGACCAAGCACTTCCCCTATTAAGATACAGGCACTCAAACAGACGTGTGTGATATTTACTTCTAAAATATGAAGAAAGACACGGCGATCTAAATGTGTACAAGCCAGACGTAAAGAACATAATTATTTTATCAGAAATTACATCAAACATTGAATCTAAGTGTTGGGACGGCTGAAGCAATATGGGAGTATGTTCGATATGGCGGGGAAAATCCCGGAGGTGATACCTATAAACTTCCTAGCATTGAAATAAGTGCCTGTATGTAAAAGATGCATATCTGAAGTCAGTTTTGTGCCACAAAAGCTGACCAAATGTCACCATAGATTTTTTAATAGTATACTTCTGAAAATAACAAAAATACGTCCTTATAATATTATGGCTGATCGAATTATGAAGTCGATTTATTTATTGGGGCATGTCGACTTTATTCGAGTCGCATAAGAAACTAGTAGAAGTGGTTTAAACACGTTATAGAAAATCCAAGCTGCACCGACGCTCGCTTCAGAGCAGTGGGACTATCTTAACGGGCATACAAAGCGGTTTTAGTTGGAAATGATACACGGAAACAGTGCTTTCACAACACCAAACACTCCAAATAAACACGGTCCATTTCAATTCAACATCTAACATGCGCCCACTACGTAGAAATAAAGAACTCAAAACTGCATTTATATCCCGCGATTGTAACATACCTTTCGTGTAACGTGACTGAGTTAGAAACACATGGATGAACGGGCGGGAAGAAAACTAACGATGCGAAAAAAACTTTTAAGCACATTAGAGGAGAAAAAAGAAGAAGAGAACAAGACACAAAACTCGAACGAATAAAAATAATTATAAAAGACAGGACATTGGCACGTCAACAGAAGTAAATTAGACGTTAAACGTTCGGAGACCTTGCACTGAGACAACATGGAATGATGAAATGACCACACTGGTTTGTTCTGGTTAGGTAGCACTGAAGGTATAAAAAGTAAAATTTGCGCGCGCAATGAATGAATTCTAAGCGCGCAAGCCGTTTTCTAAGACAGCATAGGAGATCCAGGATTATTTGAAAGAGGTCAGGTTTTCAGAAATGACAGGCTGCGGATGCGAAGGCTGCGAATGCGTTTGGTAAGTATATCTGCCAGCACCGTGTGTAAAAAAAAAACAAACGAAAAACACAAAAAGGGCTGATTGAGTAAGGGAACACCCCCTATGCCTCAATACTTTATCACCATGCACCGTCTACGCAGACTAGTAGGAATACTAGTGAACGCTTGACCTACCTGCTGTATACTGATTTTCAACGTTTCTTACTCTTTTGAAAAGAACCACGTGTTTAGCTAAAGAATTTCCCTACAGAACAAAAACATTCTTTGCAAAGGAATCCTCAGACGTTTGAATAGAAAAGCTAAAAAAAAACATCTTGTGAAAAGCACATTTTCTGCGACATTACTTCCTTGTTCAACTCTTTGCCAAGACTGGATGCCACATCCTATCAGGTAAGTCTATATAAAATTTATCAGCTAAATTGTCAAAAATTTACAGAGGTTCGAATGCAAAAACACATAAGGTAGAACACAAAAACAAGAAGCGTACATCTGTTCAGGTTATAAAGGTGACTTCAACTCAGGGGAAGGAAAACAATTGTGTAAAAGGCAAAGTTAATATTTGACTAATCTTGAGCACCCAGTCCCCAACCCAAATATACATAAAGACAACGGATGAAATGAGATAAAACACACTTTTTCAATGATTATAGTGTTGATTAAATTGGCAAATTGTAGTGATTTTTAGCTATGCTAGTTAGACAGGTTTTGTTTTGATATTTTTGGATTAAAAATAAAGGAATGTAATTTTCTGAACTTTTGGTACATTATGAGGGACAAATACCATGGAAAACATGCAAAAAATGCTAAAATATCGCAAACTAAATTTCAGAGGGTGCGTATTGGGGTACAGGGGATTGGGGGGGGGGGTTACAATTTTAAAAAATAATGCTTTGTCTTTTAGATCTATTACGGTGTAGGGGGGGTTATACCAACTTTTGTTTTACCCCCCCCCCCCTCCACCTGAAATAATGTAATGGGTCTAAAAATACAAAGTATTTTTTATACATCTGTGTGCCTTCTTTTTACGTTAAGAGTGTAGCCTTCAATCAGAAATAGGTCTTGTTTTGAAAACTATTAAATGTATGGAATTGGTATTTGTGTGCATAATTGCCTCCTAAAACAGCTTCAAAACTGTCAGTGTCGTTTAATACAAATAGCATGTATTTGTTCACCTCTTTCATTCAATGCAGAATAATTTGTGTTGGTATTTCAATTTTTCNATTAAATTCATCCCCCCCCCCCCCCCCAGTGCCCGCCTTTAGCAAATCCTTGACCCACCAATACCTGGATATTAGTGTACACTGAGTGGTACGGGACAAACATTTATAATGCAACGTGACTGTTTTTTGGAAGAGCCACCTGTGCTTACTTCATTAACATCTTGAAAACATATTAGCATTTTAATATGAAAAATGCTGCTTTTGAAAGCACACAGTGTAAATATGATAACTTTTTATATTATTATTGTTTTGGTATAAACTTTACTCAACTATATGACACTTATATAACGTCGTGGAGCGGCTTACAATACATAAGTTGTGCAATGCAGCCAGCATCAAGGTGAAATAATCCTTAACATATCACGTAAACAGCTGCGTTAGCCCTAAAATGTAAATAAAAACACTCTCCCTCCATATACGTGTTAACAATGGTTCTACTGTTCAATTCAATTGTAAAAAATCAGAGGAATGTATATACAAAAGGTAGCTGGCAAAACACGAAAACTAGAGACATACGTCTATATTAAAGGTGAGTTGGGTTACCCATATTGCATGGGAACGAAAACAGTCGTTTAAAAACAGTTGATTATTTGACTATCTGGAGCACCAAGTCTCCCTCCAAATTATACATTAAGTCAACGGGCGCAGTGTTTTATCATGTTTTTTTATCATGTTTTATCCCCACATTGTTTATGGGGTTGGTGTACAATTCAAAAGAGAAATCAAACCTTAAAGCACAAAAAAACATGCAAATGACTGTATATCATGATAAAGGGGGTAGGGGAAAATATGATGTGTAGGTGACCGCCCTGAGGCCTATTGTTTTATACCAAAAGAAACACGAAAATATCAAGAATTTTTATAAATATCAAACATACCATACAGATACAGTATATTCAGTGTGTAACGTGAATGATTTTGCTCTAATTAAGGCAAATTGTAGTGATTTTTAGCTATGCTAGTTAGACAGGTTTTGTTTTGATATTTTTGGATTAAAAATAAAGGAATGTAATTTTCTGAACTTTTGGTACATTATGAGGGACAAATACCATGGAAAACATGCAAAAAATGCTAAAAAAATCGCAAACTAAATTTCAGAGGGTGCGTATTGGGGTACAGGGGATTGGGGGGGGGGTTACAATTTTAAAAAATAATGCTTTGTCTTTTAGATCTATTACGGTGTAGGGGGGTTATACCAACTTTTGTTTTACCCCCCCCCCCCCTCCACCTGAAATAATGTAATGGGTCTAAAAATACAAAGCATTTTTTATACATCTGTGTGCCTTCTTTTTACGTTTAGAGTGTAGCCTTCAATCAGAAATAGGTCTTGTTTTGAAAACTATTAAATGTATGGAATTGGTATTTGTGTGCATAATTGCCTCCTAAAACAGCTTCAAAACTGTCAGTGTCGTTTAATACAAATAGCATGTATTTGTTCACCTCTTTCATTCAATGCAGAATAATTTGTGTTGGTATTTCAATTTTTCACTTCAGCGTAACAAAATGGTTCTAGGAGGTCTATTTCTTTTCTGTGCAAGTTTGCTGGTCGCTGTACCCTCAATATGCCAAGGGGCATGTTCCATCAATCCCTACTGCTCAGACTGTGCTAATTATACTGAAGAAGGACAGACTAAATGGAGATTTTACTGCAACCCTTACAATGAGTATTTTATAGATCATTCGCACTTTACGGCTACCAATGATACGGTCGATTTATTTCAAGTCAGTTCTTTTTCACCGAGTTCTACACTTACTATAAACAGTGGTGCTTTTCAAAATATCCCTTATATCGTACGTGTAGACATAAGGAACACGCTAGGCAGCAGTCCTTCTATAGATTGGTGGGCTTTCTATTACGGCGGTGTAGAGAACAGCCTGCGAACTTTGTTGTTCCGGAACTCCTACCTTACCACCGTCCCCTCAGTCTTGTCATATCTAACGGCTTTACAGGAGCTGGATCTTGCAGGCAATAGAATAACTGGTGACCCATCAAACTATCTTAGTTACCTGACATCACTCCGGTCGCTGTGGCTTGACAACAACTATCTATTGAGTAGTATCCCATCATCCTTGCAGCGCCTGACTTATTTAAGGAAATTGTCTCTCAGAAGCTGTAACCTCAACCAAAGTTCAGTGACGTCATTTGGCAATCTACCCTCGTCTTTAGAGTGGCTGGACGTTTATAATAATCGTCTGTATGAAATACCTCTGGGTATTGGCTTGCTTCAAAATCTGACCTATCTAAACATGAAATATTGTAATCTGAACTCTTTGTCGGACAACGTCTTCCTCAATCTAAAGAAGTTGGAGATCCTAGATCTAAGTCGAAATCCCAGTGTCGTTTCTACCCTGAACGTTCTTGCCAATCAGAAGTCGTTAAGGATTCTCAGGCTCTCCCAAATCAGTTTGTCTTTAACAGACATACCTGATGCAATATCAGGAATGGAAAAGCTGATAGAACTTGACCTAAGCTATAATGGAATACGAGAATTAAATCATGGTCAATTTGTCAAACTGGTACAGTTAAGAAAACTTAGCCTTGACCACAATAAAATAGCTTTTCTTGAACGGATGTCGTTCCAAAATTTTGGCCATCTGGAGGAACTAGACCTAAGTTATAATCTTATACACGAAGTTACCCCGATCCTCTTTGTTCCTCAGTCCATAAAGAATCTTAACCTGGAAGGAAATAAATTTGAAACCTTTGACAAGTGTACGGTTGCAAACTTACAGGCATATCTTCAGAACTCCTACATTTCAAGCAACCTTTTCAATTGCGATTGTCGTTTGGCCTGGGTTCGAAAACTGTCAGCGTCTTTCGGCTCAAGGGTAAGTTTTAGTGGATCGTGTTATCTACCAAGAGAGCTATACGGCCAGTCATTGTCTTCATATCCCCTAAATGGTTGCACGTCTGAAGACGAAAGTTTTGAAAGCTGCAACATTGTCAGGACGCCCGAGGCTTCGTTCGTCAATTCAGCCCAAATATCCGGTATCAAAAAGGACCTCGACATCGTTCAAACTTTCACAACGGTGTCGGTATCCGTCGCCGTTGTCGCCCTCCTGGCATTTGTCGCTACTATCGCTATGTTGCTGACATGCTTCTTCAAGCGAAGGAACCGAGTGCCCTCAAATGGGAGGAGCCGGGGTCACCCCAATCAAGGTCTTCAACTATCGGAAGCTGTCCAGGGTGAAAGGGCACCTGAATGTCGAAGTTCTGGAGATAGTCTGTATCAGAACACGGATGGAACGGCCAGCAGAGGCCCGAGTGCCGACTATGAACCTTTGAGGAATACATGCGGGGTTGCAAACAACACGGAGGCCATTTCGACTCCCCTGTAATTCATAAGTAATGTGTAAAGTAATCCAACTTGTGACTATTGGATCTTCGTTTTTATAAATATTTGCCACGTGATTTGTTTTAACGAGTCAACGAAAAGTTACCTTTTTTCACTTTTATGTTTATTTGTTTAATTATATTTTGTATTGATTACATCAGGTAATACTGTGCACATAAGGATTTATTAGGTACGTAATACAAATATCTATATTGTCAGATCATGGATGTAGCAGTGCTCACTAGTGTTTTAGTGTATAAACTGACACATGCCCACTGTATGGGCACTAATGTTGTGGAGCATACACTCTTGATAAAGGACAAATATTATTCCAGTAGAATTTCCTTGTAATATCCCCGTTCATATTTACTGGAGAGAATTTGATTTGCGACGACAGCATCAAAATCTTAAACTGGTTCGTTTTCCTGCTAAAATCTGTCACAGTGTGATTAAAAGTCTAACCACCTATAGGTATAACTCAAGGAATGACCTTCACCTCCGTACTTTGAAATAATGTTTAATAGCCACACGTTTAAATATACCTGTAAGTGAACTCAGATATGTCCATGTTCTTCTAGGTATTGTCACTGTGAAATGCACCTTTTATAAATACAAAATCTATATTTATAAACAAGAATATACTTGCCATCACTTCAGCAGAGGTGAATTAAGAAACGCAGAATAGAGCCGACAGTTTAAAAATCTGTTGGCGCCCTTCACTGTCTTATTTTGAAATTGCATTGGTCGTTTAGGTATTCAACACAAACCTTGGTAAGAGTATTTTGTTCTCTGTACACGAACAAATTTTGGTTGTGAATGTAAACGAGGATTGCTGTGATCGTCAGGTACTTACCTGTACATGATGCTTTTAGGCTTAGGCCCAACATGTCGTTTTTGCAGTGGAAAGACCAGTTGTGATTACATGTACCTCTACGTAATTGTAGTCTTTTTTATTTATTCATATATATATATGTATGTTAATTTTGATATGTAGTCCCAAAGTCAAATTGTTTGAGTTCATGTGTACCTTTGATACATCAGTTGAAGGTGTATAAAGAAAAGGAAAGGTGTATAAAATATATATTAATATCGAAATAGCCACAAATATAAATAATATTTCGAATAAGTTACAAAGGCCCCTTCTTCTAACTCCTCTACTTCACGTATGATGTCATCATCTGACACAAAGTGAGTACCTGAAATAGCCTTTTTCAATTTGGGAAATAGATAATAGTCAGAGGGAGCAAGATCAGGCGAATAAGGTGGATGTTCTATCAGTTCAAAGCCACACTCATTGATTGCAGCCATGGCAATGACAGACTTGTGAGCAGGGGCATTGTCCTGGAGGAACAGTACACCTTTCCTGAGCTTTCCACTACCTCGTCGACATAAACTAACCAAATGACACCAAACTTCGGCTACACATCTTTAAATAGTCAGGGAACAGAAGGGCTGAAAAGGGATATCCCTGCTTAACCCCTTCCACACGAGGCTCACTACTTATCAATCAACCCTCGTAGATATGCTTTATTATTATAACAACACCTCCTGCATAAAACTGCTTATCTTAGATTTTTAAATCAAGATAAACAGAGCTACCCGGAGATCGGCAGCAAGTGCAGCGTGCAACTGGAGCCTGTTATTTAATATAAACGTCACCTTTGTCAGCTCTTGATAAACCATTTCCGTTTGTCACTGTTCTTCGGAAATTGTCTCTGACAGCTCATTGGCACTTTCATGAAGTATACAAGTTTATTTGAATAATTCTAATTTGGCGATAGAGCTCGTTTACACACAGTCGTAATTTGATAACAGAAACTTCGTAAAGCACACCCCAGGATGTGTAGAAAGATCTCTGAACCAAAAGTTAAATAAAAAAAATCAATTTTAACCATTCAAATGTTTGCAATACAGTTTGTTTTCGTACATTCCTAGTGCATACATTTTTTGATGGTTTTAATTAAAATATACGCTCCACTGCTGTGTTCAAAGGAAATTAACATCTTGGACCCTTGATACGTGTACGTGCATTGTGATAGGGGAGACCGGGGCTAGTTGGACCCCGGGGTAAGTTGGCCCCCCACCTAGTCTCTTTAATAAAGTAACTTTGCGATGCTACATTATTTCATTGGGATTCACTGCCGACGCTTTTTAGCACTATTGTATATAGTCACTTTACAAAATGATGTGATCATTTCTTTTACTCCATAGTCACCTTGTCATAAATTAATGGAGGACCAACTTTCCACGGAGTCCAACTAGCCCGGTCTCCCTTACACAAGTTGTTTGTGTATTAATATTCAATGTAAAATGTAATATGGGCCGGTGGCCTAAAATTACTATTGCCAAATGGAAAATTATTATTGTAATATACTGTTTACAGCGATTAGAAGTATCGACATACGTCTAGCGATGGGTAAGTAAATTTAACATCTGGTGGCACTGTAGTTAATTTAAAAAATTAAAAATTAATAACAAGGCGGAACGACAAAGGGTCGCCCCTGGTCTGATCATCATTCACTTTCCACGCAGACTAGTACGAATGCTAGTGCACGCTTGACCTGACTTCTGTTTATTGATTTAGCAGCCTTTCTTACGGTTTTAAAAAGGGCCCCACGTTTACTAAAGAGATAACCTACCTTTACAGGACAAACGTTTCTTTGTGACAGAATTTATACAAAAGGGAGTCGCCTGAATAGAAAAACTAATAATCCCTGCTGAGTTGCGCATGTTGCGCGACATTACTGCCTGATCCATGTCTTTGCCAAAGCAGGAGACCAAAACTTATCTGGTAAGTCTACATAGAATTTAATCAGCTAATTAACAATTCAGAGGGGATCCTATGCTTTAAAAGATATCTGGTTAAATACACTATCTAGAGGGGAACGTCTGTTGAGGTTATACTCAATGCTGGGCGTATAGGATTTAACCCATGTTGTCGGGGAAGGGAAAAAACGGTTGTTAAAAAAACACATTTGATTATTTGACCAAGACCGCATTCACAACGATTTGAGCCAGGCTTTACAAATCCTGAGACTAAGTATGGCGGACGTACATGAAAGGAAAACCGCTTAATATTTTAATAGTATCTCCGCCTCTCACACGCCTCCCCACACGTCATCCCTGCGGGGTACAGTCATTAAATCTCGGCTCCGTTCGCCATGTGGAAGCTAATTCGGAGCACCCACCTTCCCTCAAAAATATACATTAGACAACAGGCGAAACGAACAATACAGAGCAGTTTTTTTGCCCTTTCTGTTTTCCTATACATTAATCTCTGTGATATAAACTCCCATAACAAAAAAAATGTACATTGCGACAAGGGGACCAACAACTCTAATTGTACTATGACAACTGAACAGCGTATAAATTGGGGATGTAAGGGTGTTGGGGAATAGACTGTAAAAAGTATATTCCTAATTTTCTGTCTCTGGTCGACAGGACACACCCCACCTGAGTCATAGTGGGTGTATAGCTGGCAGTGCTCAACGGGAATCTTAATATAGACCCTTGAATCTAAGTACGTCAAAAGGAAACTTGCGGAATTCTGGCGAGACTACCTGTATCCTTGGGGACCATGATCACCCATTTTAATTTGTTTTAGCATGATAATGCTACCCCACGTACAGCCAATGCAACATTAGGCTGGTTATATGTGAACCAGATCCAGACACCCAACTTAGTAACTCAATAGCTAAATAAGAACATCATTAAGCACGTGTAGGATATCATCAGAAATGGATATGTGAGGGATACTTCTGCATACAAAAATGATCTCATGCTATCTTTGCGCCGTATGTGGAACGCCATCACTGTGGAAACGTTACAAAACATTTTGACTCCACACACAGACCGCACAGGTGCGTCCTCCAATCCAGAAGATACTATACAAAAGACTAGCTTATGCACTGGTTGTGCAATTTGTAGTTCTTTGTGGAAAATTCCTTTTCAAAGTTGAATGAAGAACATAGGATATGACATGATTTGCTGCATCAGTTTAGGCCTATGCGTTTCGTTAGGGGTGACACTTTCTTCTGCTAGGGCAGTAGCCTATATTTTCTATTTGTATCCGTGTTCACCCCCCCCCCCCCCCCATTGCCCTTTTTAACAAAATTCTGAATCCTCCGATGCCTGGATATATGCAGTGGGTGGTACGGGATAAGTCTTTTTGCTGCAATGTGACAGCTGTTTGGATGTGTCACCTGTGCTTATTTTCTCACTTGCAAATAAATTCACATCTCAAAATGAAAAACAGAGGTCTTGGTATCACTCAATATGCATTTTAGAGATTGTTTTGGTAAAAAATATTATCAAACTAATGTGCCCTTACATAAATACGAGGAGCGGATTACGATTCGCTTAGTTGTGCATTGCAGTCAGTGGTAAGGTAAATATTTTCCGTAACATTAGCTATTAGCTCTGAAATGTAAATAAAGAAAGCTAGCTCCATTTACGCTTTAAATAACAATGGTTTTACTTTTCAGTTGACTTGTGAAAAAATTCAGACTGGGGCTTAGGCCTACCGGTATATACAAAAGGTAGCTGATAAAACGCAAAAACAAGTAAAGCACGTCTGTTAAAAGGGGAGGGGGTTGACCCACATTGAACGAGAAGAAAAACAGAGGTTTAAGATAGTGAATTATCTAAATAATCTGGAGCACCTATCCTGCCTTCAAAATATGCAAAAAGACAACAGGCAAAATGAGACGATACACAGCAATGTGTTCCATCCTGGTGTTTTATTCATTATAGTTTAAGTTCAGCTACAGTGATATGTGTGTGTGTGTGTGTGTGTGTGTGTGTAAAGCGTAGTTAACAGAGAGCTCAACTATATGTGCATGAGTAGTTTTTTTTTTTTTTTTTTTTTTTTTTTTGCGATAGCGGCTAATGATAAAAATGTAACATGCAACAGAATACGTAATTCATCTTTTTAAGAAATCTGCTACGAATATGTCAACAATGCGTATCAGTGAACGCTTAGTCTTTTACGACGTAAAGTACCCACTTGCGACTTTGTTTACAAATGCCGCAATGTAAGCAATTCCGAGAAGAAGGGAGCGTTTTAGTAAGGCTTGTATAGCAGTGACAAGATCTTATCTCACGGAAAATATTCACAAGGGCTTGCATTTTGACCACAAAGTGTATTGTGGGGATTGTCACATGGTTACGATGTGTGCAACAAGACATTGTCTTCTTTAGCATTGGTTTAAACCGACCACCCAGGGCCTAGTTACCGTGATTTGTATGCTGAAAACAATTCTCTTTTCTTTCACAATTAGTTAAAATAATTAGACTCCTGCCGTTTTGTTGTTGTATGTTCTTGAACAATATGACCTGCAAACAGTGCGATTTTCAGTTCTCCAGGAAATATATGCAACAGGTGTGCACCCGCCTGGCGTGTTGCGATGTCATTCTTGTAATGGTTTTGTTAAAGTACAAATGGACAAAACCATAAAACACACAACAGAGGACCAAGGGTTTTTTTTATGCAAATACATGTAATACTTTTTTGATGCTAGGAAAATAAACAGTATATTTTAGAAGATAAATTGTACTTTATTCCAACTTTATCCAAATTTACCCGATCATTAACAAGAGGCTTAAATTTAGTTTGTAAATTACTTAACAGAAATTATTCAGCCCATAATGTATTAGAAGATTGTCTTGAGTCACAAAATTTAGTTAATGTATGCAATGATAAAGAGCAGAAAATCCTTTGATCTCATAATCCTGGGCCGTGCGATCAGACTTGTAGCACCAAGCCTTTTTTCAGTGTTTTTAATCATATTAAAATATTGAAATATAATGAATTAGCACTAAACAATTTACGGCACACATTTTTTAAAAATGACCCAGCCAGATTTTGACCCAGGAAGATCCCTGTTATTTGATATTTTATTTCATCCCAGCCAATTAACTAAATCCTGTGTTCAACCTTTTTCAAATTCTTTACAATACCTCATTTATAAAAATAATTTCTTCATGTTTCGGCAAAAAAAAAATAAAGAAATAAAAATCAAGTTGTCGGGATTAACATATCAGCATTTGCATGTCATTTCAAAGAGGTGTAGATGGTCTTTATTGTAGTCTATGTAAAATTAATCTAGACACACACAAAAAAATGTATAAATTAATAAGAAAATTGCATGTAGGATGTCTTTAATGCCTAAATTTTAAATAAGTATGTATATTTATTATTGATATTTATTTGATTTCATGTTGTAAATATAAAATAAAATCGAAATAAACTGATAACCAAAAGATGTCTTTATAGATGAAAATTCTAACTTTTTGCCACCTAGTTTCCAAAGCACGTTTGTCAAGAAATATGGCTACATGTAACTTACCAGTAGTAAGGAATTGATACATTATTTAGACAATGTATATTAAAATATACCAGCTATCTTGAGGGGCCCGCACACGCGCCGTTTTCTCATCGTGTGCGGGGGTATTTTGGTGAGATTTTTGCCTCTCGCGCGGCTGAGCAAAATTTTTCACGTGTTTGATTTTTTTGGTCTCTTGAGGCAAATGTCTCAGCGTGTGCGGGGTGCAAGCGCCGAATGCTCACGCCATGCCAACAATGCGCATGTGCCGGTAGCCGGAAACAAAGAAAAATGGCAGCCCCCAGCGAAGTAAACAAAAATGTACACAGTTATAGTTAGTCTGATTGATTAACGTGGTCACCATTTGCCATTACTTTCAGAAAAAAATAAATATGTAATGTTTCCTTAATCACATGATCCCACAGTTCGCGGTGCGTCCGATAGGGGCAGGCCGGGAGGCATCTCTGCTGAGCAAAGAGCGCATCGTTTGCGGGGAGCTGAGGAGCGAGAGCATCTGGCGCAGCGCAAGTGGCGCGCGCCAATTGCTCACCGTGTGCGGGCCCCTTTAATGTTAAACATGTATTTATCAGTAAGAAAAAAAGGAATAGAAAGATAAAAGTCACATGAGATTGATACATGTGCTTGTAGGCCCAGCCTATGAAAAATCCAATATGGCGGCATTCCATGAGGCATGCTGAATACTTTCAGCATTTGAATATCAATTTTTTTATGAAAGTGGTATATAAACTTTATGAAATTCGGTAAACTGATGCAGAGAAGTATAAATATATTTTTCATGAAAGCAAAATAAGTGTACAAGTCAAAAAAATACATGATACAAACATATTTATTTATATTTGCTAAGAAATTCCCATTGATTCCTATGTAAAATTCATAAAAAAATTGATGTTCAAGTAGCCCTGGCTCAAAAACAAGCTCAGATCCCACCTGAAAACACCTGATTTGAATGCTTTCATAGCTAACTGGGGCTTGCACAAAAATGGTTGTGATCACGAGATAGAAGTAAACCAATCCATTTGCAATAGTAATTTTTTGTCGTTTGCTGCTTTCTATTTATTTTGTTTTTATCCTTGCCATCTTCTCTCTGCATATTCCTTCTTCTTCCAATGTTCTGATAAACAATGGGGAAGTAAATTAAACATTGCGACGTGACAGTCGTCTTGGTCATCAGCCACATCTTTCTGAGGCCAAACTTTTTATCAAGGCAAATGTGTGACGCTGACAAGGCATATAGGCAGAGGCAACGGCTCCAGATACATGATATAGGCGTGCAATAGCTTTCTAAAATGCAGGCAGCAGTAACGTGAAAATCACCGGCAGATTTAGGGTGTCCGTAAGAGAACTACCATCAACAATATAGCCCTTCCATGGTCAATCTACGGTAGCTCCCGTATTACCCGTATAACAAAAAAATCTACCAGGGCAAAACTATGGGGCAGGCATTTAATCCTATATTATACTTCCAAGAAAATTCAAGATCAACCGCGAAACTTTTCTACCGTGTACTTCAACAGTCTAAAAGGCCTCAAAAACAACAAAATAAAAATAAAAACCATTTAGTAACAGATTACGATGGCCACCCTGTATTTAATACTTGTCATCCGCCCAAGTAGTTCATTTGTATGTATCACGGTACACAGCACTGGTCAAAAATTAAATATTGTCCCATTCCATGTACCTTTATTTCCGAACGATCACCTCACTGGTGTAAATTGTTATAAACAGTCCTCTATATTCCATTTACCATATATAACATGATTAATGCTCCATGACACTTCAAAAATACAAAATTGCGGTGGAAACATCCATCAGNAAAAACTAAAACGAGACTGAAGCTCATGAGAAAGCACTAAGTCAAAGCGAGGCTTATATGCGGATATCGTAAGTGAGAGTTTTCAGGCTGACATGGCCGTGAATTGATTTGTGCCATTCACAGCTTAAGGCAAAGTTCTTTACATGCTTACATTGACAGAAAGCTGAATAAATTTTCCACAACTTGTAGTAATTTCAAGTTGTGCGGAGGCCTCTATAGGTACAAAAATCAAAATCAAAAACGAACTTCCGTAATAGCTTTAATAAAATTTCGATTTCAAACTCATTTTTCAACATTAAATATGCTGTAGATCAACTTTTGGGTCATCTCACATTATTCGAAATTTATTTCTCAATATGACAATGTACATATTGTAACCCCAAGTACGTTAATAGCCGAGATAATACACCGTTTATGACACCCTATAAATCTCAAAAAATATTGCCCAATTCAAATTCTCGAACTTCCGGTTTGTTTAATAGCCACCTAGCGGCAGACCAGTGGCTCCCGGGCTGCATATTTTATACAATTTATTCAATTTTAGATGCACCCCTCAAGTCCGATGTTTCACTGTGATTTCCAACAACATGCATCCACTCACCTGTTTCACTCACTGCATTATTATTTGTGTTAATTTTCTTTTCACTTCAGAGTAAGAAAATGGATCTAAGAGATATTTTACTTCTCTGTGCAAGTTTGCTGGTCGCTGCACCCTCAATTTGCCAAGGAGCATGTTCCATCAATCCTTACTGCTCATATTGTGTCAATTATACTGCAGAAGGACAAACAAAATGGAGATTTCACTGCAACCCTTACAGTGGGTCTTATATAGATTCTTCTCACTTTACGGCTACCAACGATACAGTTGATGTATTTCGTGTTATTTTTTCTTGGTATCAATTAACATTTACCATCAACAATGGGTCTTTCGGAAACATCCCTAACATTTTACGTATGGATTTTATGAGCAGATACGAAATGACGCTTTCCATAAGTCCATTGGCTTTCTCTCACGGTGTGCAGAACAACACGCGATCTTTGCTCTTGTCGTACTCAAACCTTACCACCGTACCTTTAGCCCTAAGGTACCTGACTACCTTACTGGAGCTTCACCTTGTATTCAACGGACTAACTGGTGATCCGGCAAACTATCTTAGTCGCCTGACATCGCTCCAGTCGCTAACACTTGACAACAACCGTCCATTGAGAAGTATCCCAACATCCTTGGAGCACCTACCTTATCTCAGGAAACTGTCTCTCTCAGGCTGCTCCCTCAACCAGAGTTCTGTAGCGTCATTTGACAAGCTACCCAGGTCATTAGAGTGGCTAAGCGTTGATGGTAATCCACTGCATACTGTTCCTCCGGGAATTGGATTGCTTCGAAATCTGACCTTTCTTAGTATGGCATTCTGTGATCTGAACTCTTTGTCGGCCAACGTCTTCGTCAATCTAAACAAGCTAGAAGTCCTAGATCTGAGTCAAAACCCAAGTATTGTTCCTACTCTCGACGTTCTTGTCCATCAAAAGTCCTTGAAGACACTTAGACTATTGTTTTTGGGTTCTTCATTCACAGACATACCTAATGCAATATCAGAAATGGAAAAGCTGGTAGAACTTGACTTAACCGGTAATGGAATACGAGAGGTAAATCAAAACCATTTTGCTAAAAGGGCACAGTTAAGAAAACTCAACCTGAACCACAATAAAATAGCTTCTCTTGACTCGCAAGCGTTCCAAAATTGTGACCAACTGGAGGAACTGGACCTAAGTTTTAATAGTTTACACGGACTGACCCTTATCAATTTTGTTCCTCGGTCCCTTTGGCTTCTAAACCTAAATGAAAATGAATTTGAAACATTGGACAAGTGTTCAGTTACAAAATTCCTGTCAAATTTTCAGTACTCTACGATGAACGTTTCAAGCAATCGCCTCACGTGTGATTGTCGTTTGGCATGGGTTCGAAAAGCGGTTGACCGTTTATCAATACATTTTTATGGAACGTGTTATCTCCCATGGCAGCTATACGGTCAGTCAGTGACTTTATATACTCTGAATGATTGCACTCTCGAAGACGAAAGTTTTGAAAACTGTAACAATACCTCAACAACTCCAACAAAGACGGAACACTCGTCCGAGGCTTTGAACCGCTCCTTCGTCAATTCAGCCCAACTATCCAGTCTCAGAAAAGATTTCAGCTACCTTCAAACTATCACGAGTGTGTCGATATTTGTCGCCGTAGTCGCCATTGTGGCAGTTGCCTCTACTGTCGTCCTGTTGCAGATATACCACTTTAGGGAACGAAACCGAGTGCCCACATATGGGTGTAGCCAGCGTCACGTCAATCAAGGTCTCCAGCTATCGGAACAGGTCCAGAGTGAAAGATCACTTGAAGGTCAAAGTTCTGAAGATATTCAGTATCAGAACACAGATGATACGACCGGCAGTGGCCCTGGTTCCGACTGTGTAAATGCACCTCCAAGGTATACAGGCTGGGTTTAAAATAGGGGGGTTGTCACTACGCCTCCTCCACAGGTATCTTATGTAACGTGTAGAAAAACCCCGCTTTTTTGACCTTGCGACTATTTAACATCACCCTTTTATAAAATACTTACAGAGGGAAAATTGAATCGCGGCTGCACACGCCGGCAACAAAAATGTAAATATACCTGACTTTTTTTATGGTAAGAATTGTTACCAAGGGTTTCGAACTCTAACCGCTTATAGGTACATCTGTTACTCCAATCATTTGTCCCACTTTAATAGCCGGGGAAGTTGTTTATTCGTCATACAGGGTTGCTACTTAATATGGAATATTTTTTATCATTGTTATTTTTGAGTGCTGATTAAATTTTTTTGGCTTGAGTCATTAAAAAAGTATGTCACTGAGTGATAATAACATCCAGTCTTCTGTTGTGAAATATTTTGGTCAATAATATCAAATCTGACATAAGATGCCATTCAAAAGAAAGGAGCACCCCCAGAAAACTATTTCAACAGTTTGATGTCAGTATAGACTTTAAGATAAGATATTAAAGAAAATGATAGCCTCCGGACAGTGATATGTTACACAGTCAAAGAACTCACTACAGTAAATCATGAAAAGTCAGTAATTGCGGGTATGACCTCCAGCAGCCGCTTGCAGCGCCCTCATCCTACATGGCATACCCTGTGACACGTTTTTTAGAGTCTGGGTGGGGATATCATTCCACGCAGTGATATTTGCCTATCGCAGTTCATCACTATTTACCGGCCGAGGACCATAGCTATTAATTCTGTGAGTTACTTCCGCCCACAGCTTTTCAATTGGGTTCATATCTGGAGAGTTTGCAGGCCAGGGCAGTTGCTGAACCCATTGGTTTTGAAGAAAAACAGTGATTCTGCGGCCTCGATGTGGGGTTGCGCAG